ATTGGCAGCAGCCCATCCTGCCCGAGATGTCATCCATCGCTTGCAGAGCTGCCTCAAGACTCCAAATCCTAACAAGGCAGCGGTGTGTCTGGGAGTTTGCCCTCCCTGGCCATCTGCTCTGCCTCTGGAGCACTCACGCATCGGCTGAGGAATTGCTGCAGCTCCCAGGCAGGGCTGCTCAGCCAGGTCGCACGGGGAGATGCTGCACCACGCTTCGGTGCAGTGTCCTGTGAAACACAGGGATCAGAGCCCTAAACTGCCCTGCTTGAGGATTTGCTTACCTTGGAAAGATTTCACTTACCCCAGCCAATGCCAAAAGTTGTTCCAGGTACTTTGACATCAGCAAATGCTTCTTCGCGCGTGTCACTGCTACGTAGAGCAGGTTCCATTCATCCTCAAGATTCGCGCCTAGGTTGGAAGAAAGATCATCAAGAGCTTTAGAGAACAAGAATGAACAGCTCTGCCATTCTTTTACTGCTTCAGCTAGTACTTCTGGGAGGACGCTTGGTGCTTCCCCGGGAGAGCACGAACTTCATTCTCCCTTCCAGGCAAAGGCAGGACTCTACACGCCTGGAGAAGCAGCTCACTGCTACGTGCTTTCCCACCTCCCGGGCACCGACTTGACATGGGAGGAGTATCTCAGCCTCTAGACTCACTCTGCAGGCTCCTCTCTGCTCACTGGGAAGAGACCAGCTCTTCCAAAGCTGAACTGTGGCACCTCAGGAAAGCAGTACATTCCCCAAGCGTGGAACTGGGCTTTCTCCGTTGCTAGACGCCTACAAGCTCGACTGCAGGAATATTCCCCTGCCCCTGTCTTGCTGGGAAGGGAACTACGGCAAGATCAATGATCACTAGGACAGTCAGTGGCTGGATGGCCGAGCCCAGAGAGTGGTGGTGAATGGAGCTAAATCCAGTTGGCGGCCGGGCACAAGCGGTGTCCCCCAGGGCTCAGTTCTAGGGCCAGTCTTGTTTAATATCTTTATCAATGACCTGGATGAGGGGATTGAGTGTGCCCTCAGTAAATTTGCAGACAACACCAAACTGGGTGGCAGTGTTGATCTGCTTGAGGGGAGGAGGGCTCTGCAGAGAGACCTGGACAG